TTTGAAGGAGTATTAGGGGTCTTAACTCTTCCTCTGTCTCCTGCTGATTCCTGGCTGCTGTGAAGTAAGTGGCTTCTCTGCCATCCATTCCTTGCCATGGCGCTCTCTTCACCACAGGCCCAAAAAACCATGGAGTGCATCCTCTGAAACCATGAACCAAGATAAATCTTTCCTAGAACAGCCATTATCAAGAAATCAAAGTGGGGCTGGGGATTTAGCTCAGTGGTTCCGCTGCCTGCCCTGCAAGCTCAAGGACCCGAATTCGATCCCCAGTACCCAAAAAAAAAAAAGAAAACAAGTAATAACTGGGGAGGCTGCAGGAAAAAGGAATCCTTCTGCATTGTTGGTGGGAATGTAAACTAGTACAACCACTGTCGAGATCAGTATGGAGACTCCTCAAAAACCTAAAACTAGAAGTTCCATCTGACCCAGCTATTCCCTCACCTCCAGGTATCTTTCCAAGAGTTAGACATCATACTGTAGTGATCCATGCATACTCATGTTTATTCCAGCGCAGTTCATAATAGCTAAATCTTGGAAGTGGATTATATGTTCGTCAGCAGATGACTGGATTTTTTAAAATGCAGTATTTATACATGGTGGAGTACTACTGTCCCATAAAGGAGGATAAACTTGAGTCATTTGGAGGAAAATGGATACGAGAGATCATCATGCTAAATAAATCTGACATACAAACTTAAATATCTTATGTTATTTCTTATATAGGAAACCCAAAGTATAAATAAATTTAAAGAGTGTCTTACTTTTCTCATTGCTAAGACAAAATACCCAAAACCCAAAGTTAAAGGAAGAAAGGCTTATTGTAGCTCCCAGTTTGTAGAGGTTTCAGTTCGTAGTTGGCTGCCTTCAAGGTGAGGTGGCATGGCATAGGGACCTCACAGAGGAGAAACAGTTCATGGTGGGTAGGCAGGAGACAGCAAGCAGCAGCAGCAGCATCCCTCTTTCTGTCTCTTATATTCTCTCTGGGCGACACACCCTTAGGGTGGTAGCACTCACACTTAGGCTGGGACTCCCTCAATCCCAGCATCACACCATTAATCCCAGCGTCACAATGTAGATCCAGGCTAGATCCGGCCAGTTCCAAAAAGCCCTACCTGTGGCCGAATGAGGGTTAGGGTGGATGTTTAGATACAAGATGAAACAATGAGCAAAATAAAAGACAGGTAGTAGGAGACACAGAGACAGGACTTTTGCAAATGGGAAGGGGCCCAGGAGATGGGGGGGGGAGGAAGAAGATGTAAAAAGAATTACAGTGTACATGTACCAGCTCCCTAGAGTGAGTGTGCTCATTGTTACCTCAAACATGTTCTAGGAAAAAAGAAAAAAATCCCCAGGTATTCCATCCGAGTGACAGCAAGCTAAGTACCGCAGACTACTGGAGTTCCGTAGACTGTAATTTGCACCTGTTGTTCGTTGTGAAGTTGTCACATAGGTCTGGTGTGTAGTGTTCATGGGTCTGCGGAGGCTGCATTCTGGTCCTTTGAGCCAACAGGTTGGGGTGCTCACTGAGGACCGGCGGGGTGAGAGTGCCGGCTTCTGGTCTCAGCGGTGCCAGGCTCATCTGTTCTTGCCACCAGGGGCCTGCCCTGCTTGTCCTGGCCACCCCTGCGTGAGGCCCGTGGGTGTGTGGAGTTGCGAACGCCTCTCCAGTGGTTGCTTCAGTGCAGGTCTGCATAGACCGGAGAGGAGGCTGCACAGACATGGTGCCACAGTTTACAGCTAAAAACTTCCCTTGGAGCGCCAAGCTCCACCACGTCACTAGAGTCGTGGAGTCAGGGCTGCAGTCCTGGTTTAGTCTATGAGACAAAACATTTGCTGTATAATAACTTTCAATACAGAAAAGTGATGGTCATGATACAGGGGGTCAAGGGGCCCCCATGCGCCCTTCCCCCCATGCTTCCAGGGTGTGGTCTGCTTGTCATGAGGGAGAGCTTCCCCTCGGAGTATTCCTGTGAACTACAAACCAGACTCCACAGGTCTGTGACAGCTGTCACCTTGCCTTGTTCATGATCTTGACAGTTTTGGAGAGTACTAGTCAGTACTAGTCAGTACCTTGCAGAATGTTACTCAGTTTTGGTGTTTTTTTTGATACTTGGGATTGAACCCAGGGCCTTCTAACTGAGCTACATCCCCAGCCACCCGCCCCCCCAATTTTTAAAATGTATTTATCTAGAGACAAGGTCTCATCACTATGTAGTTTAGGCTAGGTTTGAACTCAGTGTATAGCCCAGGCTGGCCCCAAATTCACAGTAATCCTCCTGCCTCAGCCTTCCTAGTCTTGGGATTACAGGGTTCTAGCCCTTTAAAAAATTTTTATTTTGAGACAGTCACTAAGTTGCCCTGCCTGTGTTCAAATTTGTGATCCTCCTGCCTCAGCCTCCCAGAGTGCTAGGATTAAGTCTTGTGCCATCTCCCCAGTATATTTGGTGTTTGTCTTACTATTAGACTGGGGTTAGGGATTTGAGGAAGATACACAGGTGAAGTGCCCTTCCGATTGCACCACACTGGGGGTCTGTAAAATCACGACATCTTTGGTGACCTCAGCCTATAGCACTGCTGAGGTTGTGCATCCCAGGTGTGTGTACAGTAAAAGACACCCTCAGTTTTGGAAGATTGTTTTTAAGATGCTCTGTGGGGTTTTACTCCTAAAAGAGGTCAGACAAGTGGAATGCTACGGTGCAGACAGGGAGAACTGTGGGATGTGAAGTGATGTTGAAGGGGAAGGCTCCGAGAAAGGGGAACACAGATCAGATGACATCTTTGTCTTACAAAAGTATTTCCTGGGCAGAACCCTGAAAGAGCACGGTGCATGCTGGCGCTGCATTTCTATTGAGCGAGCATTGCACACCCAGCGTGCCAGCGTGTGCTGTTGCAAATAGAGCTTTTGAAATAATGTTATTTTAGAATGGTTTACAGAACAGATTTGTTTTTGGTTTTTTTCCTGGTTTTTTTTTTTTTTTTTGCTACTGGGGATTGAACTCAGGACCTTGCACTTTTGAGGCAGGCGGCGGAACCACTGAGCTAAATCCCCGGCCCTAGTGAGACCTTTTCTCATGGAAAAAAAAAAAAAAGTCTGGCCTTTCATTGTGATGGGTACAATAATACTCTAAGGACATTATTAATGCTCAGTTATTCCCTCAATAAATGTTTATTAAAAACTTACGATAGCTATATTTCTTCAATTAACGAACTCAGAGTTTTCCCACATTGAACAAGCTTTTTCAGATTTCTGATTGCTCTAGCTGCTTTGCGTATTTTACTTGCATCTTAAGAATGTGAACATTTAGTTTCTCATTTCCTTTGCTAGTCTTGCTAAAGTTTTAACAGACTGGTACGTGTTTAAAAACTGGTGTTGGGGCCAGGGATTTAGCTCAGTGGTTCTGCCACCTGCCTCGCAAGTGCAAGGTCCTGAGTTTGATCCCCAGTACCGAAAAAAAAATAAATAAAAACTGGTGTCACTGATTGATAAGTGTTTTGTAATATTCATTAATGAGAAGACAGCTTAAAGAGTGGTGAATTTACTGTCTTAGAATACTGTGAAGGTTAGAATTTTCTCCATTTTTAGACATTTCAGCAAAAAATTTAAAGTTAAAAAAATTTTAAAGTTCTTTTTGTTCATCTTTTATAGTTTTAAACACATGAATCTCATTTTCCTTTTAGTATAGACATGTATTTAAAGTATTTGGAAGTGCTTGGCTAAACATTCCTTTTTCTTTTCTTTTCCTTCTTTGTTTCTTTCTTTTTTTTTTTTTTTGCAGAACCAGGAATCAAACTCAGGACCTTGAACTTGCCGGGCAGGTGCGGTGCCACTGAGCTACGTCCCCGGCCCTCCTTCTTTGTTTCTTCTATGTAAAATGAGAGTTAAAGTCATTTGTAAAATTCTGTGATAAACATAATTTTAAGACATTGATACTAGGCATGTGGCTCACACCTGTAAGCTCAGCACGCAGGAAGCTGAGGCAGGAATGATTGGTTTGAGTTTGAAGCAAGCCCAGGTTACATAGTTCAAGGCCAGCCTGAACCACACAGTAAGTTCCTGTCCAAAAAAAGGCGTTGATGAGGACATTACTATGAGAAGTGATCTCTTCCTATACAGATACACTTTCACCTCACCAGAACCTCTGTGAGGGCAAGGACTGTGGTTCTTTTTTTTGGTACTGGGGATCGAACTTGGGACCTTGCGCTTGTGAGGCAGGTGGCGGAACCACTGAGCTAAATCCCCACCCCAGGATTGTGTTGATTTTTTATTTTTTGGGGGGGGTACCGGGGATCAAACTCGGGACCTTGTGCTTGCAAGGCAGGCGCTGGAACCACTGAGCTAAATCCCTGGCTTTATTTTCAACCAATAAGTGGAAGCTTTGCATTTTTCAACATTTTATTATGAAGATGTCAAACATATGGCAAGCTTGAAAGAATACTGCAGTGAACACCTGTATCTACGCCATCTAGATTCTATCACCACCATCTTTATGCTTAATTACACATCTTATCTATTATTAATGTACCTCATTTTGGATGCATATCAAAGATCATTGTAGATTATCAGAGACACTAATTTGTATCAGGGACCAGAGTTTGAACTGGGGAAAGAGCCCAGGAGAGGCCACCTTTGGGTATCAGATGTCGCTGTTACTGCCCTCACATGATGAGAAATCATGTTTTTTCCTCATTCCGTTAATGATATTTTTTGAGATGGGGTCTCATTATGTAGTTTAGGTTGGCTGGCCTTGAACTCATTGTGTAGCCCAGGCTGGCCTCAAACTCATGGCAGTCCTCCTTTCTCAGCCTCCCAAGCGCTGAGATGCACCACCACTCGCGGCTCCATTATGATTTCAGCGTGATCGCAGCCTTGAACATCATCCTCGGGGACTTCCTGGGTTGCGGTGTCAGGTCGCATAAAGGCAGGCCGTGCATCTGTGCAGTCACTGCCACAGCTTCGCCACCATCCCCACCCTCACCGCTTTTCCCTCTCTTCCTAGGAGTCGCCCACCAGAGCCAGAGCAGTGAGGGTGTCAGCTCTTTGAGCAGCTCACCTTCCAACAGCCTGGAGACACAGTCTCAGTCCCTGTCACGCTCCCAGAGCATGGATATTGATGGTGTCTCCTGTGAGAAAAGGTAAGAGAACCCAGTGCGGCAATAAAAAAGAAAGGATCTAAGCTCAGCCGTCTCTACCTAGCAGTCTGAATCACCCGTCCGCCCGCCCGGACCTCTGCCAGTCTACAGTGAGCTAGAGCCACATTCTTCTTTTTTTCCCCCCGGTACTGGGGATCAAATTCAGGACCTTGCACTTGCCAGCAGGCATGGTGCCACTGAGCTAAATCCCTGGCCCTACAGCCACATTCTTAAGCTGAAAGGCTCTTCTATTCCTGTGAAATGTTCTTCATCTATGTTTTGGTGTTAAATGTCTCATATGAAATAGCTGGGCATGGTGCGCCAAGTCTATAATCCCAGAACTGGGAGGGCGAAGGCAGGAGGATCACCCTGAGCTTGAGGACAGCCTGGGATGTGTAGTGAGACCCTGTCCCAAAACCAAACCAAACCAAGAATGTCTTTGATGAAATAATGGTACGTGTGGTTTGTTTTTTTTTTTAAAGAGTCTTCTCAGTGTCTTTGCTTTATAGCTACCAAGTGAACAAACAAATGTCAGTGCCTAAAGATTTTCTCCCAGTTTTACTGATCACTGAAATGTTAAGAGTTTGGAAGGTTTCAGACGGAGGATCTGTTTTACTGATTTCTTGTTTAAGTGGGCACAAGGAAATGACTACTTGGGAAAAATTTGTAAATTCCCAGTTAAATGGAAAAGGCTTACATTGTTAATGGCCTTTACCTGACCTTTCTGGTTTCATTTTCCTGTAGCATTTCTCATTTCTGTACCACACGCATTGCTTTCTACCTGGGGAGTTTATTATCTCTCCCTCTCACACGTGTAAGCTTGGTAAGGCGGGGCTTGTTTTAGTCTCTTTGCTCAGCAGTATCTGCTCCACCTAGAACTGCTCCGCGTGCAGTGGGCCCTCAGCGGTATTTGTTATGGAAGCCATTGAAGCTGGGAGTCCTGTGAAAAATACAAATATGCACAGTACATGTAAATTTGAAATCTTGGGGGTAAATCAGAGTTCTAGGAGAACATCATTCTCTCCAAAATTGACTCAGCAAGAAAGAGAGAAACCAAATAAAACCCACGAAATGGCTTAAATCAGGATTTTAAATTTTCTTTTCCAATTTACACAGATTTTCCCCCAGATGATTAAAAGCATAGAGAACATTTGAACTCAGTTTATGAGGCTAATATGACCTTAATATTAAAGTCAGACAAAAATAATATCAAAGAAGAAAATTACATTTTAATCATACTGTCAAACTCTTTGTAGAAATATTAAATATTGACAAATCAAATACTGCAAATGTACAAATACATGAAAACCAGGCTAAGCTAGTGGGTTAGATATCAATACTGGGGTCAGCGTGCTAATGATGAAAAAGGGTCACAGGAGTTTTTGGGGTGTATGCTAATGTTCTAGTTCCTGATCCGGGTGCTGATTACATTAGCATGTTTATTTGCCACAATTTATTCAGCCCACGCCTTCCTATGCACGTTTCTGTACATGTGTTTCAGTCAAAGATTTCTTAGCATAGTATAATATGAACACACCATGATCAGTGCGCTCAGGAGCAGGTGAGTGCATTAACAGTAGGAAACCCCTAAGTACTCCACCGTGTTATGTATTAAAGAAAAGATCCTTATCACCTTGATGGCTGCAAGTCTCAGAAAACTCCATATCGACCCATGATGAAAGCCTCCCATTTGAGAAGGGCACATCTGGGAACTGACGGGCAGTGCTAAGTATCCAGCAAGCATCTTGTAGAGGGCATTGGGCGGCGGCGGCTCCCTCCCCACCCCAGCGACCTTAGGGGAGACCAGAGGTGCATCGGATGCTTCCCTCCCATCACACTTGCCCTTGCAGGGTAAAAACCTCCAGGCTTCCCGAGCGCATGTTAGAACAGCGTAGACCTCTTATTCTGACTGACTAAAGGCCCATGAGCCCCCAAACTCCAGCAGCTCACATTCAGTGGTTAGAATCGGCCTCTGTAAAATGAGTAACTAGAACAGGAAGATGCTATTTCTGCCTCATGTGGGCCCTGCCCAGTGCAATGACTAGTAGGATTGGAGTGGAAGAAAGAAAACAGTTACTATCCACAGATAAGGTCAGTTGTGTTTGTAGTACACTTTATGGATAAGTAAACATTGCTTACAAGAACTGGTATTTAAAATCAATTATGTTATTATGTGCCAAAAATAGCTCTAGAGAATTTCATTTTTTAAAAAGTGCCAGCTGGGTATGGTGATGCACACCTGAAATAATAGCCCTCTTTTTTAGCATAATCTGGGTAATTTAGGATTTAGCAAGATACTGTTATATCAGACAATCGGTCAATCAGTCAGTAAGGCTGGGCTATAGCTCAGTGGGAAGGCCCTGAGTTTGATTGCCAGTACTGCAAAAAAAAGGGGGGGGGTAGCATCTACTTTCATTAAAACTGTGATACCCAGGAATAAATTTAGCAAAAGAAGTATGAGATTTTTACAGAGGAAATGATAAAAGTTTATTGAGAGTCCTCAAAGAAGCTCTGCGTGAGTACCTGGAGAGAGATAAGGACTCAAAAACATAACGATGTCATTTGCCCCCATTTGATTTCTGAGGTCAGTGAAGTTCTAGGCAGGACACCAGCAGGATTTTCAAGGAACTAATCAACTGCTTCTTCAGTGTGTAGAGGAGAGGACAGGGCCAAGAAGAGCCAGTCAGCTCTTGGAGTGCAAGGGGAGGCTTTGACCCAGCAATTTCAAGATGTACTGTGAGGTTTTAGTAAGACAAGGTTTGCCCGCAAACAGATCATCCAGCGGGACAGAAATGAGCACCCAGAATTAGACCCCACACAGATAAGACAATTGGATACATGACAGGCACTTTCAAGGTAAAAAGGATGGGGTTTTCACTAAATGGTGCTGGATGGTTACTTACATAATGTGGGAGAAAAATGTAGTTCATACCTGCCTTGAACTCACTATGTGGCCCAGGTTGGCCTTGAACTCTCAGAAATCCTCCTGCCTCAGCCTCCCAAATGCTGGGATTACAGGTATGCGCCACCGCACCTGGCTTGGAGGAAAATAATATATACTTAACTAGTTTTGTACTCAATCTTTGGTTGTTTCTTGTATCATATTATTTTATTTATTTTATTTTTTGGTACTGGGGATAGAACTCAGGGCCTTGCGCTTGCCAGGCCAGTGCAGTGCCACTGAGCTATATCCCCGGCCCCCTTTTGTGTCATTTTATGGCCAAATAATTTTTTGTTTTGTTTTGGTTTTTGGTACCGGGGATTGAACTCGGGACCTTGCACTTGCAAGGCAGGTGGCAGAACCACTGAGCTAAATCCCCAACTTCTTGTGCATTTTAAAACAACACATCTTCAGACTCTGCTCCCCTGACTTTTTTTTGTTTGAAGGTGAGCTTAAGGAAACAATGCTTTGGGAAAGATATTTGTAACATACATGAGAGACAGGCTCTTGATATCTCAACATATGAAGAGCTCTTAAAAATAATAAAAAAGGGCCGGGGATTTAGTTCAGTGGTTTTGCCGCCTGCTGCGCAAGCGCAAAGACCAGAGTTCGATCCCTGGTCCAAAATAATAATAATAATAATAATATAATAATAATAATAATAAGATGAACTGTTGTCATTTGCTTTCATGATTAGTTTCAACTGATATTTAAACCTTTTCACAGCCAGCAGCTGTGACATGGGGGGCGTCTCATAAAAGGCGAAAGACTGAGCTATCTTTTATGCTCACAGCATGTCACAGGTGGATGTGGATTCAGGGATCGAAAACATGGAGGTTGACGAAAACGACCGACGAGAGAAGAGGAGCCTTGGTGACAAGGTGGGTAGGAGAGGTGGCTCCCCTTGGCCTTCGTGCCCAGGACCAGACACACGGGGTCCTGCTGAATCTGCAGAGTCCATTCAGGGGACCCCTCACCAGCACATCCATGTGGGCAGGCTTTTGTTTTTGAGGAAGGGGCAGCCTCGATTGCCCTTGAGAATGGAGGTGTAACTCAGTCCTTTCATCTGGTAAAATTCCTCAGTTATCTTTGGTTCTGGTCCGTGTTCTCGTCAGTAAATTTAGCTTGTGACAGAAACTAATTTTTTTGTTGGTCTTTCACTTAAGTCAGTAGATCATCACATTTTTGGATGTTTTCTGAGGGAAATATTGGGGAATTGAAGCCAGAAAATGTAAAATCCAATAGCAAGTAAAGCTTTTTGAAATCATGAGGTCTTTATACTTTATTATCTCCTGAACGTAGTTACCCTAAACATAGGGCCTTTGGAATTTGTTTTTGTTCTTTTTGGTGTCCATGGTACAGGTAATCGCATCTCTTCCTGTTCAGTAAATTATTAGGAATACTGTTAGCGACAGGTTGATGAGTAGAAGTTGGACTGTAGCCTCCTGTTGCTGCAGTGCTTTAGTTTGTATCATTCTTTGGTGCTTACAAGGTTCTATGTCATTTTTTTTTTCAGGAGGCATGAGAAGAATTTATTAGAGGGACATACAGGGTGCACTCATGAGCGGGTGCGGGTGCTCAGAAAAAAGAGGTGTTTTGTTTTGTTTTGTTTTTTATTAGAGGCCCATGTGATATTTGACTTGGGGTGGAATATAAGGAGAAACATTAAGTTATGAGGAGAAAGAAATCTAAGTGTTAGCCTGGTCCTTTGGAGCAGCAGTCCCCAACCCAGAAGGATGATGTTTTAGGCATGGTTCAGAGGAGTGGGAACCCAGATCTTGCGCCTGCGCAGTTCACAGTAGGGTGCTGCCCCTGAGAATCTGGTGCCCCTGATCTGACAGGAGGTGGAGCCCAGGTGGGAATGGGTAAATACGGAGGAAGCTTCTCCTTCCCTCCCTGTCACCTCTGCTGTGCAGCCCTTTCCCAACAGGCCGCAGACTGGCATGGGTTGGTGATCCCTGCAGAAAAGTACACAGGGTCAGTGTACATCCTGTCTCACAGTTCTTCCTCTGATTCCTGACAGAGCCCTGTTCTTTTCTGCTCTCTTGGAGCTGTACTGTAAGCTCAGGAGACCTACATGTTGTCACTTTGGAGTCGTGGGACAGGTTCCCTTCTCTCTTAATCAGTGGGTGAATGGCTTTAAGCATTTGAAAAATAACCTCCTTGATGCATGACTTAAGTCTGAGTGACATTTTCCTGCTGAAGCGCCTGCCTCCTGCTTCCCAGTGGAGACTGACCCCAGGTCCTCTTCCACCAGGAGCCTGCCCCAGGCCCAGAAGTGTCTGAAGAGCAGGCCTTGCAGCTGGTCTGTAAGATCTTCCGTGTTTCCTGGAAGGACCGGGACAGAGACGTCATCTTCCTGTCTTCTCTCTCTGCGCAGTTCAAGCAGAACCCAAAAGAAGGTAAGAGTCCAGCTCGGCGCTGTCCTTCCGAGCACTTGCAGGGAACAGTGAGAGTGAGAGCGAGAGCTTTGTGTTTCTCTGCGTCCCAAGCCCCGGCTCACTTCAGGTTGTGCTTTTTTTTTTTGGTACCGGGGATCAACTTGGGACCTTGGGCTTGTGAGGCAGGCAGCAGAACCACTGAGCTACATCCCCAACCCAGGGTTGTGCTTTTAAGTGCATTGATGCATGGTGAGGACACTGCTGTAAATTATTCTGCTTTCCTGACTCCTGCCAGAGAAAACTGTCTAGCTCAGTTACAGACTCCATCGTCCTGGGAGTTGAAAGGAGATGCTGAGGGAGGGGTGAGTTCCGTTTAGAATGTGGGTTTCCTGGGTGGCCCCCGGGGACCCCAAGAGGGTTGCTCTGGGTGACCCAGACCTGCTTTACCTGCCTGCTGGGCCACGCTCAGGCAGTGGTGTGAGTGTGTTTGATTCAAATGCTCAGAAGATGGAAGATACTAACATTTTGCTGTGTTTCCAGGCTTCTATTTTAGAGGTTAGCTATGCTAAGCCACACATCCAGAAAGTAACACAACTGTTAGCAAGTTGCGGCCATCTAGGGCTCTGTGGTTTTTCTTTACAGCAGTCCTTTGGAATACAGCAGAAATAGGGCTGCGCTGAGGTGCTTTGCACCTGTCACTGGAATACAGTTATCTCCCTTGATACTTGCTTTTGCCTTTTTTTGGTGTGTGTGTGATAGGTTCTTACTATGTAGTTTAGGCTGGCCTTCAACTTATGGTAATCCTTCTGCCTCAGTCTCCTGAGTGCTGTAGATACATTTTAATGAATGAATGACCATTAAGGTGATCACCTTTCCTTTTCTTATGCTGCCTGGCTTCTAGGGAGGAAGAAAACAAGTCTTCTGTGTCCTTGGAGGATTGATAGTCTGTTTCTGTTTTTAGTCTGCTTAGAGAGATGAACTTGGTAACCGTGTATTTTAAAACCCTGCCACATGCTATTCTTTTTTGTTCGTTTTTTTATTTGTTTGTTTTTGAAGCAGGGTCCTAGTTGTAGTGCAGGCCACCCTTGAACTCACTATGTAACCCAGGCTAGCCTAGAACTTGTGCTGATCCTCCTGCCTCAGCCTCCTTAGTTCTGGGTTTATAGGTGTGTACTGCCAAACCTGGCCACATGCTACTCTTATAATTCTTAAGATTCTCAAACCTGTCTCACACATACAAATGATAATTTTTAATGATCAGATCATATAAAATTTAGAGTGAGCAGGACTTTTGTTGAGTGACATTTAGAATGTATCTAAAGACCAGCACCAAATCAGCTGGGAACTCCAAAGAATAATGAGGAAGCAGAAGCTGAACTATAAATCTGCTCCAGAAAGCCAGATAGTGATTAAACATCAGGCCCTTCATGAAATCTTTTGAACCTTGGACTTAGTTTTACTGTATATAAAAAGTATATTGGCTGAGAAATATTAACCCAATTGTGTTTGCAGTCTGATAACCCAACCTCTGTAGTCGGGAGTGACTTCTCTTTATCGTTACATATCAGCAGTATGTATTAGCTCTCATTGACCTCGCTCCAATTTCTTTTTAAATAAACTTTCAATTTTGGAGTAGTTTCAGATCCACAGAAAAGGCTCAGAAATAGTCCAAGGAGCCCCTGTGTGTACGTCTGCCAGTTTCCACTCACACGCTCCTCCTGTTCCAGAACCTGACCGAGGATCCCATGAGCTGCTCGGGTCCCGGCGGGCTTATTCGAGGACCATGTCCAGCCAGCACCCTGTGTAACCTGTTCTTTACTCTGCCTTCCCAACAGTGTTCTCTGATTTTAAGGACTTGATTGGCCAGATCTTAATGGAAGTGCTCATGATGTCCACTCAGACCCGAGACGAAAACCCATTCGCCAGTCTCACCGCCACGTCCCAGCCCATCACCGCGGCAGCTCGGTCTCCGGACCGAAATCTCACGCTGAATACCGGCTCCAACCCAGGGACCAGCCCCATGTTCTGCAGCTTGGGCTCCTTCGGTGCCAGCTCTCTGTCTAGGTCAGTGCGGTCCTCTTTCCTCAGAAGACACTGGGAGGAGAAGGGCGCACGTACTCCTGGGACCGCCCTGTGTCCTGGAGATGACAGTGTGCGCCGCATTTGGGAGTGGATTTAGTCTGTGGAGGTGGTAACTGTCCTCTCTTTTCTAGATTGGTGTTTTGGCTTTCCTGGTTGGGCTATTGGTAGATTAAAAACAAATCGTGGCGTACACCACATTGCTCTTTGAAAAGGGACCTTGTCATCATCTCAACATCACTACAGCAATTAGATTAAAATTATTAAAATGCTTATCTGATTTGTATACTTGAACTCTTAGAAACGTGGGATACAATTGTACTATCCTTTAAAAGCCTGAAATTTTCCATTTTAGTTATCTCAAGTCTTTCTTTGATTTTTCTCTTCTTTCCTTCCTTTCTCCACTGATGTAGCCTCTATGACACTAGCCCAGCCCCTGCTGCTGGTCCCTGGAGCTCGGAGTCGGGGGCAAGTCCGTCCTCCGCCTCCCCCTCCCGTGCATCCCTCAGCCCTCTCGGGGCGGCTTCTGGATCTGCAGCAGGAAGCCAGCCCTCGGCCCTGTCCCTGTCTCTGTGCCCCCGATACCGGCCCTACACTGTCACACACCCGGGGGCGCCTCCGCCCTGTGCCACCCAGCGAGCCTCAGGTGTCCCCATCCCGCCCGGCTCCCCCAGCCTCCCTGCCCTTGTGGGGAGCCCCTCAGCTGGCAACTCGAGACCGAGGCCCCTGAGCGGGGGCCCAGCTGTCCCGCCTGCCTCACCCAGTGTCGCCAGCAGACGCCCCTCCTCCCTGCGGATGTCTCCTAGGTATTTATCCGGCAGGAGAGCTGTGTGTGTGTGTGTGTGTGTGTGTGTGTGTGTGTGTTTGCAGTGCAGGGAAAACAGATTAACATGCTTCAGAAGATCTGCTATGTGACACTGACCACCTCAGCTACTCTTGGGTGTCTTGGGTCATTAACCTGTGTTGCTTACTGGTGTGGGTGTGGGCCCGGAGTCCCCGCTGTCAGGTGCTGACCACATGGAAGGCAAGGGTCAATGTACTGTGCGTCCCTTTCTTCCCTCCTTCCCAGGGCTCTTCCTCCTTCCTGTTCCAAAACAGAAAGAATGAACTTTGTTGTTTGCCCTCTACTTTATGTGTCATCCCTCATCACTAATGAGTTTCGGAAACTGGTCAGCATTGAATTTGAGAGTTGGGGCTCGGAGGATCGCTGTTTGACTGTTTGCACTGTGGCCAAGGGGGGTCGACATGCAGGAGCGGGAGTGCAGCTGGGTGTGTTCCTGCCTCACGCTTGGATTTTTGGTTATATGTAATTGTAGCCTGTTAGCAATGGTATCAGAGTTGCATGAATCTGGGGGCCCCTTTTCTCAAATGTACCTGTGTGCTGCTATAATCTTGGTGCCTTATTTTTCTGCATGGCAGTGGACCAAACTTTTAGCATACAATTTATTTTAAAACAGACAGCAGAGGGCCGGGGATTTAGCTCAGTGGTTCCACTGCCTGCCTCGCAAGTGCAAGGACCTGAGTTTGATCCCCGGTACCAAAAAAAAAAAAAAACACCCCAAAAAACCAAAAACAGACAGCAGATGTTAAAGCTTCTTCACGTTCTTGTTCAGCCTTTGTCTCCTGATGCCCATTTTTTGTTTCTGTGCGGTAGTATGTACGACACTCCCTTCTCCTTCCTCTTCCTCGGGCTTTCGGGGGACAGTAGCAATGAAGAAGACGAAGATGATGATGATGGTGATGATGATGATGATGATGAAGGCGGTGGTGGTGGTGGTGGTGATGATTTTTCTTGTGTCCAGTTTGGGTCCAGGTATCTGAGGAATGGAGTCTTTACCTGCATGTGTGTTGGTGCTTAGGAACTAACTTCCAGGCGCACGACTTTGGGGTGTGTGTGCTTTGAACCCAAACAGGACAGCGTCAGCTCAGGTGGGGTGGCAAGTGAATCCAAGTGTGAGGGGAAAAGCAACACATAGGACAGTTCTCATAGTTGTTGTCTGATACACTTGGGGGAAAACTTACTTATAATCATTTGCTAGAAACCTGAAAACAGGTTCATGACCATTCATCAGGTTCACCCACTGTTAGGTCTAAAACAAGGGGCTCTTCCTTTCTCTATTGCAAGAATGTTCTTGCTGGGTGTGGTGGTGCACACCTGGAATCCCAGCACTCAGGAGATTGAGGCAGGAGGATCTCCACAAGTTCAAGGCCAGCCAGATCTATATACATAATAAATTCAAGACCAGCCTGAACTGCACAGCGAGACCCTCTTTTAAACAAACAAGAAAAGAATATTCTTGTGAGCTACAGATCAGGAGCATTATGTACCCTGGGAGGCTTGTTTCCATCGGTCCTGCTAATGGATTTCTGGTATTTAGGGAAGAGACCAGGGCTGAGGCTTGGGTGTGTGTGCGCATTCATTATCTTCCATCCCCACCGCCATCAAGCTTGGTCTAGGCCGGTGGTGGTGAATTTATGGTATGTACACCACAGTCAGCTGTTTGTTACCATTGAAAGCTCTAAAGGGTTTGCTACCACTGGCCAAGGCAATCATGAAGAACATACGGGTCATTTGTCTGGCATAACTGGGGCTCCTCTCTCACCTCTTAACCTTTCACCTCCCTCTGCAGCTCCTTGTCCTCAGCAAAGCCAGGCCCCACTTGGTTAAAGGACCCAGAGTGCTGCTGAACGTTCACCTCTGAAAACACAGTGACAGCAGCACTTGGGTTCCTAGGTGACTTTGAACAGGAAAATACAGCCCTTTCTGACCTTCTGACCCTGTCTTATACTTACACTCTTAAATCTAAGTTTCCTCTGGACAGAGTTGGTATTTGTGCCTAGCAGTCTTCAAAAATAACCCCAGGCTATAAATAGGGACTGGCACAGGAGTCAGGGCCACTTCATTAAATTAACAGTGGCAGGGGCCGGGGATTTAGCTCAGTGGTTCCGGCACCTGCCTCACAAGCACAAGGTCCCGAGTTCGATCTCCGGTACCAAAAATAAATAAATAAATAAATAAATAAAAATAAATTAACAGTGCTGGAAGAGCCGTCAGAGAGCCCAGAGAGAGGTGTGGATGCAAGGTCAGATATCGATTCAGGAAGGTCGATCCTGAATTAAGTTGAACACTGTGTTACCATTTGCCATGTAAAGTTCCCAAAGGTGAAGGTGTCCTTTTCATTTCCGTCAAACCTATTGCGTGGTTGTAATTATACAGCAGTTGTCTTTCCCGGGAACTGCCCTCCACGCATGGGAAAAGTGCTTTTTATTTGTGTTGCTGAGTTGTCTGTGGGAGAAATCCTCTCTCCCTCTCCTGTTTTAAGTCTTCCTGTGACCAGTGTACCCAGGCTTTGCTGCTTTTCCTAATGCCTCTTTTTAGGTTTCTAACATCCCAACCTTGCCTCATATGTGGATCCTATAGCCAATAGGGGAAATGTGTACTGATCGCGCAGTAACAGCTGTGAATCCTTGAGCACCATGTGCCTATGCTTTGTAGGCACTCAGCCTCTGTCACCGCCCCCTGTAGCTTGAGAGGACCAGGGGACAGGGAGGGCAGAGTGGCAGATCAGAGCTCACGCCCTGTACCACTCTGCAGTGCGCTGGCCTTTCCATCTTTGCCCAGCAGTCCCTGTGTTCCTGTCCCTTATTGGCCACTTCGCCACCAAGAGTGCCCGCATCTACTGTTCCTTGGCCAAGAAATGCCAGTATTTTACTCCTTAATTAAGGAATTCCATCCTGGTCAGTTGGTTGGCTTCTCATCGGCAGCAAATAGAGACAATCCAGATTGTAGATTAAGTGGTCTAATTATAGATTACTAGCAGATATCAAGAAGGATGTGAAAGGTTGGGAATGAGTACAGAACCATTCAGACAAACAGTGGAGCTTGAGGACACATTCAAGGTGGAACCAGCAAGAGGTGGCAAAAAACACTTAATTTGAGCAGTCATCCAAGAAGTATATTTTTCTTTCCCTTTTCTTTCTCTTTTTTGGTACCGGGGATTGAACTCAGGACCTCAAGCTTGCCATGCAGGCACTGTGCTACTGAGCTACATCCCTGGCCCTTTTCTTTCCTGTTTTTTTTGGTACCGGAGATTGAACTCGGGACCTTGCACTTGTGAGGCGGCACCACTGAGCTAAATCCCCAGCCCTCTTTCCCTTTTCTAATTGATCTTCCCTGAACTTTGTGTATTTTGAAGTAAGCAGTTTTGGGGGTTTTTTTTCCAAGTACTGGGGATTGAACTCAAGACCTTCTCATGCAAGGCAGGTGAGGTGCCACTGAGCTAAATCATTGGCCCCCAAAATAAGCAGCTTGTTTGTTTTTTTTTTTGGTACTGGGGATCGAACTTGGGACCTTGCGCTTGCAAGGCAGGCACCGGAACCACTGAGCTAAATCCCCATCCCAAAAATAAGCAGTTTTAACTGTCCTTCTTGCCTGATAAGCTTAGCATCACAAGAATCAATGTGGTCAGGCCTGTAATCCCAGCACTTTGAAAGGCCAAGACAGGAGATTTACAAGTTCGAGGCCAGACTGGGCAGCTTAGCAGTTCAGCAAAACCCTATCCCAAAATAAAAGATGTGCTGGGGACATAGCTTAGTGTGAAGGCCCTGAGTTCAGTCCCCAGTACAAAAAGAAAAAATTAGAAAGAATCTACAGATTGTCCCTTTTTCCCCTTTGTTTTCCTCGTGGGGTTTTGCAAACCCTTTTGGAAGTGGTTGCAACAGAGGGTCGTCTATTAATTATTGAGTGTGGTGGTGATGAGGGCTCACGTGCGAAAGCTGAGACCGTGTGGAAGTCTTTTCAAGTCTGGTGTGGAAGGGCCGTGGACTCTGAGGAACCAATCCCTCCATGGGGAGGGAATGAGCAAGGTTGTCTTGTGACTAAGAGCCCATGGGAGTTACCCGAGGACAGTTTCCTGGGAGTTACCAGAGACAGATTGGGTGGTTCTTCATTTTGGCTTTTGTTGGCTTTCTTAACTGCTTAGAGGTTTCAGTGAAAAAAGCCACACCTTAAATGTCATGAGCCTTGGTGAACAGAGAGGGAAAATTAGCAAAGGATGTAGAAGGCTGACACCCGCCTGCTCTTTCTGCTGCTCCTCACTGCTGGAGGGAAGAGGGGAAAGAAGCCCTGCCCATCTTCTCCCTCAGCCCGCCTGTGCCCTCTGGCTCGGGCCCTGCCCTCCCCACAGTGCCATCCACTCAGGCAGGCCCTTCATCCCACTGTGTTGAATGTTGGAAGTGCAGGGGTGTGCCCACACACACACACACAGGCTGCCTCTGTCTTCCCTCGAAGCACTTACACATTCACTTTGGATTGTCTGCATCTCTAGCGTGTAGCTGCCAGCCCAGGACCTACCACAGGGCCGAGAACACAGGAGCCCCATGCATGTTTGCTGAATGAATTTATATTCTTTCATTCTGCACAGCTCTGACTTTGCCTTGGATTGAGAAAGTGAATTTCAAAGTCTACATGTTTTTTTTTTTCTTTTTTTTTTTTCCCCTTTTACTGGGGATTGAACTCAGGACCTCGCGCTTGCCAGGCAGGTGTGGTGCCACTGAGCTACATCCCTGACCAAAGTCTACATTTTAAAAAGTTGGTAAATAAGCCAGGTGTGGTAGCACATACCTATAATCCCAGCACTTTAGGAGGCTGAGGCAGGAGGATTGCAAATTCAAATTTAACCTGGGAGGGAGACAGGAAAGGAGAAAGAGAGGGAGAGAAGGAAGGAAAGGGCAGGACAGGAAAGGAGAGCATTGACGTAGCTCAGTGTGAAGGCCCTGAGTTCAGTCCCCAGTACTGGAGGGAAAAAGTTAATAAATGGGTGGATGATTATTTTCATTATAGAAAAAAATTATAATGGAGGCCTTTAAGAAGCATATTTTCTTAGTGTATTTCAAATGGAATTGAGTTTGGACAGATCTGATACATTATAAATCCCCAGGACTATGTTTGTTGTGTCTGCAGAAGGGTTCAGCTATGTTTCTGTTGCATGAAGTAAGTGCATGGGTCAGTTAGACAGCTTGTGTGGTGATTGGAAAAGGCTCGCAAGTGTAGGTACTCATAGGACTTAATATGACATTTCTAAGATTTAAGAATATCGCAGTTGTAAAAGTGTCATGAATTTTTTTTTGTTGTTCCAGGGATTGAATTCAAGACCTTGCGCTTGCACAGCAGGTGTGGGAACCACTGAGCTAAATCCCCAGCCCAAAAGTATCATAAATTTTGAAACAACGTTTTGAGGAATCAAAGTGCAAAACTATTTTAATTTTTTTTTTGGTACCTGGGATCGAACTCAGGACCTTGGGCTTTCGAGGCAGGCAAGGTGCCACTGAGCTAAATCCCTGGCCCTTTTTCATCTTTTTAAAAAAACTATTTTAATTCTTGTTTGTTTGGAGACAGGCCCTCACTGTGTTGACCAGGCTGACCTCAAAGCCCTGGGGTCAAGTGATCCTCCTGCCTCAGCCTCCCGAGTAGCTGGAACTACAGGTGCATACCACTGTGCTCCACCTATTTTAAATACTGAAGAATTTTATTGATAGTATAAATTTGTGCATATATACTGTGTGCCACTTTTGTCCTTTGGTATCAGTTCATAATTTCACTTTGAATCTCAGGACCCTCAGAGGTGAGTCTTGGCCCTGGACCTCCGCATAGCACAGACAGGACGGGGCTGTTTTTCCTGCGTTTGGTGATTTCCCTTGGCGCCTTTGAAGCACATTGCTAGATTCTGGGGTGCACGCTGCATTTCTCACTGGGTTCAGTTTTTGTTGCATTTTTCCCCACTCCTCTTGGAAATCTGCCGGCTGGTCCGGTGTTTGTTTGGTGATCCCCAAGGGCCACCAGCTTCTGCTTTGCAGAGTTTGTGCAGTCTTTGGAGCCTTTCATTGAGTTGCCCGGCACTTGTATAGCTTGTCACATCTCAGGCTTTAGAGAAGAAATGTTTCAAGTGAGTGGGAAAGGTTCAGATTTAAGATTTTTGATGGTGGGGGGGGGGGTTTGCTTTTTTGGTACCGGGGATCGAACTCGGGACCTTGTGCTTACAAAGCAGGCAGCAGAACCACTGAGCTAAATCCCCAGCCCAAGGTTCAGATTTAAGCTGAAGGTCATAACGTTGCTAAGACTGGCCTGGGATTTCTGTGTGGGGCACAGGCCCGAGCCATCTAAGTGCATACAGCAGATGTAAGAGGCCTCATTTCCGAAATGGAGACTTGCAAGGAATGTGGGGCTCACTCTCAATGAAACGGATAAAGTTTTCATTTTAAACATGAGAATGATCTATTTTCCTCACCCGAAAAAACTGCTCCAAGGAAAAGGACCGCAGTCACCTGTTAGCTTAGCCTGCGTTAGCAGGTCAGCCTTGGGATATGCAGTGAGAACAGCCACTGAGTCACTTGTGGCACTAGAAGAGGGGCGAATCGCAGACAGCTAGAAACTAAGATTGCCACAGGTAAAGACAGATCCCTCCTCTCCCTTTCTGCTTTTAAGGATTCTCCTCATCTTTTCTGTTTGTGGATGGGTTTCCTGTTCTGTGCTTCTGTGAGTTTTTCCTATGCTGTTGCACTACTCACTCACCTTTTCGTTGTCAGGCCAATTAGCAGATGCCAGATCCTGCCTTCAATGAATAAAATATACAAAAGCACAAATTCCTGTAAAGACATGAGAATGCATCTGTCTGTTTTGTAGGGTTCCCTGCCCATCTTCTCCATGGCTCTGGTGAGGTGGTTTGTGGGTAGCTTAGTAACCTGCTCAGAGAGCAGGGGCTTGCAGGTGCTGAGCTTCATCTCCTTTCCCTTCTGTCAGTAGGAATTCAGATTTGCTGGATTCTGGACTAAAAGCTTTGGATTTGAAACTGGCATTGATGAGCAGGGCATGGTGGTCCACGCACATAATAATCCCAGCACTTGGAAGGCTGAGGCAGGAGGATTACCGTAAGTGCAGACCTCTGTGTAGCTGAGGGGATGGCCTTGAACTTGAGGCGATTGCCCAGCTTTCTGAGTGCTGGGATTAGACACATGCACCAAGCCTGGCCAAGGGAGACACTATTTTAACAACAGCAACAATAAAAATAAAACTTGGCATTGCCTTCACCTTCTTTAGAGAAATATTTTAGTATCATGGTTTCATTCTAAGATCAATTATGCATATTTTCCCCAGATTCTAGGGTCAGGTATGTATATACATTTCAAAGTTTTGGGTTTTTTTCCTTTTTTCTTTTTTCTTTTTTTTTTTTTTTGGTACCGGGGATTGAATTTATAACCTTGCACTTGCAAGGTGTGAGGCAGGCAGCAGAACCACTGAGCTAAATCCCCAGCCCTATATTTCAGAACTAGTCACACATATTTGTCTAGCTAATGTGTGTGTGTGTGTGTGTGTGTGTTGTTTTTTTTGGTACGAGGGATTGAACTCAGGACCTTGCGCTTTCGAGGCAGGCACCGGAACCACTGAGCTAAATCCCTGGCCCTAGCTAATGTGTTATTGCTCTTTCAATTCCTCTTGGTCCTTTCAGTTCCTGGCCTTCAGTTGTCTGTCCTTGGTTGAGGTAGGGATGTATCTCTCAAGTTCCTAATATTTTTCTTGTCCTTTATCCTTTTCTCCAGGTAACATTAGTCACTTCCTTTTCATTTCACAGTTCCGTGCTTGCATAGGAATCATTGCATAGTTCTTATGCCTCCATTCTTCTCTTTCTATATTTTATCCATATCAGATCAGTGTGTGAGCTAAATTCCCTTTGGTACATGACCTGACATAATTGGCCTTAACTTTAATTTCCACAAGCCAAACCTTCGTGATTGGACTTGGCTTTTGTCTCAGAGAACAGTTACTGTTCAGTAATGCTGCCATTTCCCATGGTCCCTGCTGACCCTTGATGAAGCACTGTCATGTTATTTCCTTGATGGTGGCTGGCTATAGATAAGGTAGAGGGTCTGGGTTAAGGTAGCAAGTGAGCATAGCAGGTCTGCTGGGCCCTGGTGCAGTTTTTGTTTATATTGCTTTTAGAACTTATTTGCCTCTGCACCGGAAGGTTTGGAAATTTTTTTGTTACTAGCAAATATGTTCACGTCTGGTTCTTCACTATGTACTTTCCCTAAGCCCTGGACCTGTTGTCAGATGTTTATTTAGATCTGTGCTGTAAGTCATGAGGACGGGAGACATCTTCGCAGACTCTTGGGACTTCTGTCCCTAAGAGCTGGGCTGTAGCTGTCGAAGTCTGGCTTCCCCCTCCCTGGCTGCCCAAGTATCGCGGTCAGTTTGAGTACCTGGGATGTCTCTTCAAATGCTTAGCTTTCAGTAGCAGTTCTTGGTCCTTCTGGTTTTGTAAGTTGCCACCCTAGTAAGATAAGGCCCCCTCCTTGGGTCCGTGAATTGTTCACCTGGACTTTCAATCTTTGGGCTGGGAGCAGGGGGACCAAGCCATTGCCCTCCAGGGGGTTGCATGAGTGTTTGTGCTTTGTCCTTCGTGCAGGGATCCTAACTGGCTTTCTGCTGCAGAAACACAGCTCTGGAAAAGAAATAATCAAGAAGGGGTGAACATCACCATTTTTTTTTTCTCTCTTCCAAAGTTTGGGAGCCTCCGGCGGTGGAGCAAGTAGCTGGGATTCCTATAGCGACCATTTCACCATTGAAACCTGCAAGGAGACAGACATGCTGAACTACCTCATTGAGTGTTTTGACCGAGTTGGAATAGAGGAAAAAAAAGCACCAAAGGTAACATGGAAGAGAGTTGTGTTTGTTTGAGGATCCCCCCACCCCAGGAGGGCTCGTTCATTTATTCAATCCAGAAAGGCATGGTGTGCTGGGCCACTTGAGATGTGTCCACGTACACAGCAGAGACTGCCCTTGTAGAAGCACATCCTGTCCAGGGAAAGAAGGGGCAGGGCCGCACTGTGCTGGCCTGCTCTGAGCCCTCTCTCCTGCCCACCCTGTTAGCTGAGCACTGCTGAGGAAGCCCTGACAGAGCTGGTGAAATGTGCTGGAGTGATTACAATAATACCCAGCATGACGGGGCACCCGTGGACTGCCGAGGGCTGTGCTGAGCTTCAGTCCCTGCAGGAGCTCAGCGAGTTGCCTGTAGCCCCATCCTAGATGCGGCGCTTCTCTCTCCGTGGTTTACGTGAGCAGATGAGCCTCACGGACTCCCTTATAGATGCTCAGAGTTACTGAAGGAGGAGCTGAGGGCTGGCTCTCTATCACGGAGCTGCACCACTGGTATCTTGAGCTGCCTCCCTTATTTTTCTCTTCATTCTTATTTCATTGTCTAGTTCTGGTTTCCATTGGAAATGAATCCGTGGGTCTGCCTGTCACCTTCACATCTGTGCAGCGCCTCTTGGGGGAGCACTGTACTTGACCTTAGTCAAAGCAAACAACGGGGACCCAGCTCCTAGCCTGTCTTCTTTCTGACCACGGGGGTCGTTTGCTCTCCTCTGAGCCTGGTCAGCTCTCAGAAGCACTGGCTTACTTTGTCTCCTGTCCTGATGGCCGCCTTTGTCTTTCAGATGTGCAGCCAGCCAGCAGCCAGCCAGCTTCTGAGCAACATCCGCTCACAGTGCATCTCCCACACCGCGCTCGTGCTGCAGGGCTCGCTGACACAGCCGAGGTAGGAAAAACGCCATCCTCAGGTGCCTGGTGTCCTGGGAGAGGACCAGGCCCTGGGGACATCAGGCCCTGGGGCATTCTGCCCTGAGCTGGGTAACTCCTTTCCTCACTTGGAAGGTGAAAGGGTTGGATCAGCAATCTGAGATCCTTTC